TCCTGGTATTTCTCGTCGTTTTGTTAATGGGCCACCTCGAACTAGAGGGGCCCAGCTAGGAGCCACCTCCCTTATTAATACATTGTTTAATTAGCAGGAATTAGGATGGAAAGAAACTGTATAAAACTTCCTTTACAACACCTTCCTATTTGATAAGTCTTATTCCTGCTCTGCATGGAAGTTTTCGAAAATGCCTAGCTTTTCTATTTTACATATAAGCATCAAATTATGAATGACGAATTTTGTTGTTGCAGGCTTTGCGCCATTAACCATTTAATCCAAACTGCAAACTTTATCATCATTGCAATCATTACTAGACTAATAAAAAAAAATTATATATTTGTTATCATTGTTATAAGTAAAACTAAGAAAATTGACTTTTGAATAAAACAGGATTCTCAGCAATCATTTAATTAGTTGAATGTTTCTTCCATTAGCCTATTTATATCAAATTTACTACCAGCTAAAAGAAATTTCATTTCGGTGTTCTGTTCTGCGTGATTTTCATAAACCTTCCTTTTATGCGCATGCTGAATGTCAGATATGTGTATGGTCGACTCTTTTCTTTTTTTACTTTGTGTGTATCAGGAGGACTCTTTTGTAGCTCATTTTCAATATCACAAGCAGCCAATCACATCAATTGAGTGGAGTCCTCACGAAGCATCCACATTGGCAGTTTCATCGTCAGATGATCAGCTAACGTAAGCCCTCCTTTCTTGTACAAAACCTCATCAAAGTAACAAAACTGGCTTTGATGCTCTCTCACTATCTTTCATATTTGTATATTGCCAAAACCAGGATTTGGGACCTCTCCTTGGAAAGGGATGCAGAAGAAGAAGCTGAGTTTAAAGCTAAACTGAAACAGCAAGCAGATGCCCCGGAGGACTTACCACCACAACTGCTCTTTGTTCATCAGGTTTGTTTTTGTTGGTTCTTAACTGCTGTTTCCATCATGTAATTGTAGGCCTTCTGTTAGAGATAGAGAGCGGGTGATGTGGGGGGTTATATTTTGGTTCTGTGAAGCCGATGATATTTCTTGTCCAACTGTTGGGTTTGTTGCAGGGTCAGAAAAGCTTGAAGGAATTGCATTGGCATGGCCAAATTCCAGGAATGCTATTGTCAACAGCTCACGATGGTTTCAACGTTTTCATACCGTCGAATGTGGAGATGACTCTCCCCGAGTTAACTGGAAGTCTCAGCAAACTTGGTTAATTCTCTCCCTCTCTCTCTCTCTCTCTCTCTCTCTCTCTCCTTTCCAAGGGTCCTGCCTCCCCCTTCTCTCAGTATGTATTTGTAATGTGCATCTGTTCCCAAGGTTTTGTGGCCTTGGCAATTCTACAGTTGATTTGGCTTTGGTTTAGAGGAAGACAGTAGTATGCTCAAGAGCAAAAAGTTTTGATCTTTGTCGATGTGTACTGTGGGAACAAATAAGCTTGTGTTAATATGCGAACAAATAAGCTTAAGTAATGCTTAAATTTTTTGCTCTCTCCAGGGTGGATTCTCCAACAAAAAGAAATTTAAACTATGTTTAGGTTCTTCTGATTAAATGTGTTGGGTCTCGTTCTCTCTAGATTATTCTGATTAAATTTGTTGGGTCTCTCTCTCTAGATTGTTCTGATTAAATTTGTTGGGTCTCTCTCTCTCTCTCCAGATTGGTCGGTCTCATTAAATTTGTTGGGTCTCTCTCATGCGACGCATATTTCTGTGGACGAGCCAACTTTTTCAAAATACGATTGTGTTGGTGTCATAGTCGTAGGTTTGCCTACCAGTACACAATAACATTAATGGACACGTGCATGGTGCTGAATTTCCATTTGAATGTTTTCATGTTAGGTGTTCCTTTTAGGGAAACATTTATATACAACGGAGGCTCTAAACAATCAAATTTGTGCCTACCTCAAAACTCACTCACTAGAAGAGGTTGTTTTGATGCCCAAATATCTTCAAATTGATCATCTCGACATTGAGATGCATAGATATGAGAAAAAAATGGATTCCAAGTTTTGGAAATAGTGCGTTTTGTAACTCATTTTTGGAACGTCAATTTTCAATATTTTTAAGTGCTTATAAATCTGTCAATCTACACTATTTTGAAGCTTTAAACTTTATAAATAAATCTAGAAATAATTTTAAGGCTAACAAAGATTTTCAGTATTGAAACCTAAAGGTATGTTCTAATTTGATTGTTTAGAGCCTAGGCTCTATACAAATGGCACCCTTCTTTTTATTGTATCTCCATATCTGATATTTGACTTTAATGCCGCTTGATTTTTTTTCATTATCCTATTTTTGCTGCTTGGCAACAAATTCTTTCTTTCTTTTATTCAATCATTGAATAACTCTAATCAAGACCTAGGAAAAGAAAAAGAGGAAAAAAGAGAGAGGAAAATTAACCTTATCGTCATGATGGTTTTTACCCAATCAGCCATTTGGCCCTGTGTATTAATTTATATATGGAAGACCTTAAATATATATTTTTGTTGATATCTTAAATCATCTAAAAAAATTACTTTAGTTTTTTTTTTTTCTTTCTTTTTTCTGTTCTTTTGTTTCGTTATATGGCTAACTGGCGTAAAATAGTTGGACTAAAGTTTGGATGGTGGTAATGATGATGATGATTTTGTTATATTGTTGTTTTGCTTGATCCGAGTTATCGATCCAGCCGATCTGAATCCAAATCCATGTGGATAATAACTCTACATACCCGTGTTTTAAAACGCTAATTCAGCAGGAGTAGTTGAACCTAACCGTGCTTCATTTATAAATTTATCTCTTTTCATGTTTTCACAAGTGATTTTGGTCTTGTAAATAAAAAAGGAAAAGAGCAGGTGGTGGTGAGTTGAAGTGAGAAGACGTGTTGTTTATAAACTTACCCTTTCTAGAGTACTGAAATAATGACCCCATGAGAATTATTACAAATAAAGGAGACATCGAGAGAGTTTACATCCAAAAGATTCACACTCCTACGTATGCCGATCTTCTTTCCCTTTTGTGGAAGTCAAGTTATGAGTTGTAAAAAGACTTGTATTCATTTATTTATTTATATGTTAACAGTTTGAATAGAGGATGGGACATTACGTCGAGGCATCAACTCAGGTTTGAAAACCAATTTGATTGACAGATGCCCAACCATGTGAGAAAAATGGGAGTTTTATTTTCCCATGGTTGGTTAGCATGAGATAAATGATGAGAAATTTAGAGTCATGTCCCTCTATTATTGTAAAAGATATGGGGAGGTATTACTTTTAATAGAACAGACCGAAATTCGTATAACTTATTCCAATTAATTGAGAAAAGATTTTAATCATGAAAATAATGATACACATAGCTTCCAAATTTATTATATATTTATGCGTATATTTTTTTTTTCATCTTTGTTTCCCAAAGTGCCACAATTTTTCACTTTTGAAAGTTTGGAGCGATTGCCAAAAGGTTTAAAGTCAATAAAGTACTTGCACTTTGTACATTAAATGCCTACTGCATGTCGGATCTTAAAGTTACGAAGCCAATTGACTTTTGTTAATTTGTACAAAGAGTATAGGGTTCTATGGCCTAAAGTCCATTGCACTTGCGGACCTAATTACACTCAAACCTTGAAGGTTTGAAGTGCTCCTACTTCAAGCAGCCGGCCTTAAGGTCTGAAGTACCCTTCTTTTTTTTCGAACATTAAAATGAAAGTCTTTATAGTGTGACATTCACTAGCGAGATTCGAACCCTGACCACGCTGATACTTATGAGTCTGCACTAAATTCGGATCCCTTCCAACATATATGAAGTGTCCTTTCGTAGCATTAAGCTCTAAGGTACACGTGCAAGAATTTCATGGAGAATTCTATTCACTTTTGGGGCCTTTTGAGGAAAAAATAAAAAAGTATGAGCATAAAATACAAAAAATTGAGGAGATTTTTGTAGTAACGGGTATTTAGGGGGGCGTGAGCATAAATTTCCCAAAAATATGTGAGTATATTCTCGTTTATCCCGGCCCCGACCAAAGTATCCTCTTTGTATTTGGAAAAAGTTTATATAACGTTACAATCGTAAAATGTAGAATTACATATACACCTCAAAAATCTATTGGAAAAGGTTGTTTTAATATCGAAAAGCCCTCTAATTGATCATCTCGAGATGTATGAATATGAAAAAAAAAAAGATTTTTAATCCTAAAAATAGTGCATCTTGCAACATCTTATCTATACCATCATTTTTCAAGATTTTTATATATTCATAGATCTACTTGATTTTAACTATTTTTGGAGTTTAAATTTTATAATTAAATATGAAAATAAGTTTTGAGATAATCCTAAGAATTTTTTACACCAAAAATTACATGCTATGATAAATTTTGGAGGTGCGCCTTAATTGGATTGTTTAAGGTTGTAACTTTATAGAAATCACACCCATTCACAAAACATCTATACCTATTCTAAAATCCGTACGTTTGCTCGAGTCCAAAGCTTTGGACCGACACCCTGGGCTAGCTTGAGGGCTTTTGGCGGGTACGGCTTTTGGACCACAAAATGAGGCCCATGGACCACCAATAGGCCCGATTCAAGTGGGGCTAAGCGTAAGAACATATAAATAATATTGCATATATGCATATATTTTTGCATATCTACAAAAATATTGCATTTATTGTTTTATATATTATATATGGATGAGGTTTTTATAAGGCCTAGGTCTTATGAAAACAAAATAAACTCTCACTTCATATCATCGTTCAGAAAGCACTTTCGGCAACGAAAATCTCCATGATGGCTCTAAAATCAATTTCCAACACTGCAATAAAATTCGAAAGGCAAAAAATGGTACAAATCTTGCAAATATATAAACACTTATTTTTAGTGCGAAATGGAGAATTTAGATAATTTGTTAAATATACACTATTTTTAAGCTTGAAATCCTCTTTTTTTCACAAACATAACGCTGAAGCTAAGGTGATCGATATAAAAGTTTTCTAATGGTTGAATTGTAATTTTCGATGAGTTATGAGATGAGGCTGTGCTTATTCGATATGGCTGCAGCCCTATCAAACCATTTTTCAATATTATATTGAATGTCTTTATTTATTTTTCATAAAGTATGCAGTTCTATATCAATATATTAAGGCCTGAGCATGGGCTAATGCCTTTTTAGGCCGGGCTGGGGGGGGGGTTTTGGTGGGATTCTATTTTATATTGAGGCCAGGCTTGGGGATGTCTAACTGGAGCCCAACTGATTGCAGCCGTATGGGCTAGGATAAGATTTAACTAGAAGACAAC